ACTGACCTTCACTCAACAATAAAAAGAGAGACAGGCTGATGGTGAGATGTACAGAAAGAGAGAGAGAGAGAGAGAGAGGAGGATGCTGGGGGAGGACAGGAAAGACAAAAGAGAACAAGAAGAGCCGGAAACAAAAGGAAAGAGAGAAAGACGTTCATGTGGGTATTTGAATGATAGGGTTCAGATACGACTTCATCCTCTCCATACAGAGCAGGGAAGAGTGTGAAACTGCAGCTCCGTGTGATTGATCCCTGAACAAAGCCTTCATTATCGGCACAACAGCTGTGATTATGCTTCAGTCTCAGAAGGAGAGAGAGAGAGAGAGAGAGTGAAGTGAAGTGTGCATTGTTTCACAAATCCTCCACAACAAAGCGTTTTAGCTTTAATAACCGCACAGAGCAGATCCACACTAAACCAACAAAAGGAGAGACGTTGGTGCTTTTAACCTGCAGCAGGAACGCACAGACTCCTCCTCCTCCTCCTGCAGTAATCAGAGTCTTATTTTTTAACATTAATCATAAATCAAACAGACGATTACGTTAAAGAAGAAGAAGAAGAGACTCGCAGGATCTTTGTTTCTGTTCGACATGAGGCAGCGTGGAGAAAAAAGACGTTTCCTCAGGATTTACACCGAACCAGAACCAGAGACACGAATCTGAGGAGATCTACTGATGAGGTTTACGAGTTCACTTTCAATCATTTGAAGGAGAAATGTGGGGCGTCTTATTGTTGAATAAAAACAAAAAGAACTGATGAATCAACTAAAAATAAAAAGTTCTCATCACTAAATATTTACACTTTTTTCTTTGTAACAAAGATACAGTTCCAGTGACCTGATGACCTTTTTTCTCATAACATAAAACCTTTATACCAGTAACCTAAAAACAATTTATAATATTGTTACTTAACGACTTATTTTTTACTCAAAACGTATAAACGTTACACCAAAAGATAAAAAAAATATATATATATATAATTTTGTGATATAACTTTTTTCTCATAATGTAACAACTTTATACTGGTTACCAATTTATTTTTTTGTTTTATAATTTTGTAACATAACTTTTTTTTTTCTTCATAAAGTAAAATCTTTATTCCTGTTAAATTTCTTTCTTCACACACGCTACATCATGACTTTTTTCTGACTTAATAACGACTATTTCTGACATAACTTTTTTCTCATAATGTATAACTGTAAACTGGTTACCAATTTATTTTTTTGTTTTATAATTTTGTAACATAATTTTTTTTTTCTTCATAAAGTAAAAACTTTATTCCTGTTAAATTTCTTTCTTCACACACGCTACATCATGACTTTTTTCTGACTTAATAACGACTATTTCTATGAAATAACTTTTTTTTTGCTTCATGATGGTTAAAATCTTAAAACTAAACTGTTTGCTCATAAAAACCTTTTTGTTTTTTCTTTCATTTTTCTTTCTCTTCGCACAACTTTACCTCCATAAAGTCACTTTTTCTGGTATAGGCGTTCAACAGCCCGTGGATTTTCAGAATAAAACGTCTGTAAAACTGCTCGAAATGATCCGTGGAGTTTTTACACCTCCTGTACAAGAAACTTTTCCAAAGAAACATCTTTGACATGTTTTCCTGAGCCGGTTTGTGAGAAAACATCTTTGGTTGTAAATGAGATTTTGCAGCAAAACAAAGTTGTCAACCTGCTGAAATAAAAGCTCAGCACATTTCCTTATCGACAAGAGAAGTTAGTGTTTCTTTGGCAGAGCTCTGAGTGAATGAAAATGATCTGCTGCTGCTGCTCCTCGGATTAATCTCTCACTACGCTACAGAAACATAAAACCTCCTCCAACAGGAGAACACGAACAGAGTGTCAGACTGAACAATGACTCTCAGCCCGATACAGAGCCGGGATGAATATTCTTGGTAAGTTTCCACCACTGCAGCAGCGAGAGCGAGGTTGGCTGAGGACACGAGGACTGAAAACCAGCCAGATCAGAAAAACGAGAGAGAAATAAAAACAGAGAGAGAGAGAGAGAGAGCACAGACGGAGGAGGATGAGAAGAAGGTTTGTATCCTGTGGGATCACTCACACCTACAACAGTCTGAGGTCCAGACTCGTGTTCCTCTGCAGGCTAACACCAACAGAGAGGAGGAGCAGACCTCAGGAGGAGCGTCTGCTGATCAAACAGAACCGCCTCAACAGGTCCGCTCAGGAGGACTCATGTGGACCAGGACTCCTTTATCTGAGCGTTTGAGTTTTCCAGAAATGAATCGATCAAATACTTCAATTTAAAGGTTCTGCGAATCCCGTCCCTGCAGAGTGTAGAAGTAGATTTCCTGTCGATAAAAACAGGATTATTTGCACTTTTCTGATCATCATCTGAGCTTTAGACGCAGTTTTATCATCTATTCAACGACTGATCTGTTAGTGACTGTACCGAACGACACACTCAGATAAGACGCCAACAGGATACATGAATACATCCTCCGAGGCTTTTCCAGACCGTCTCTCTGCCAACGTGCTGGCTGTGGAGTGGAAGTATGGCCAAGCTGCTTTTATTTGTTTCAGATGGTGTTTGGACTCAAACTAAGCAGATTGTCGTGAAAAGAAGATTCGCTGTTTTGGGTTTTGCATAAGTCCCCTTTAAGTGTCTGGTTTTGGAAAGCCGAGCACCTGCAGGATCGTTTGTCTCTAAAATGAGAAGTTCAGCTCAAGTTCAGTGAAATCAGACAAACGTGGACCTTTAGAGCGCGCTGGTTCAGGTGTGGACGGATCTCTGAAACACCTTAGAGTCCACAGAGTCAACAACACATCAAAATCGACTCGAATCAGATTTAAATATGAAACAAACGCTGATCCTCACACCGTCATCCAGCAGATAACTGGTCCAACCTCAGTCTGCAGATGCTGAGTCATCTCACACACATGCACACCTTCTCTGCAGACGTTCATCTTATCGATCCTGACCTTCAGACTATGACGACTCAGGTAGAGAGCGGCGTGCAAAGTCACTCCTGCAGGACCGTCCCAGAATTCAGGGCGTGTTCATGATGGATGTATTACTCATGTATTTGCAGCGATTATTTTTACACCCGAGACAGTCTGTTTAGTAAACAAGACCAAATATGGTCAAAATTCGTGGAATAACCTTGGTTGTCGTGGTAATGAACGACCCCATCAGTGCGGCCGCGTCTTTGGCGTCTCACAGAGTGAATTAGAGCCGACAGGACGGAGGAGAGGTGACTCAGCTCTGAGAGAGGTCGACCTCCAAAGTGAGTGGAGGAACAGACGTGGATGGAGGAGTAATATTTCTGTTTCAAGGTCACCCTGAGGGTTTATTTCAACGCCCTCTACAGGCTTTCAGTCTCTTTTTGGTGTTAACGTGTTTTTTTTCAACGTTTGTTCAAAGATTTCCTTTTTTTCTTTCGATTTAACCGAGGGACGGACGATTTTGGCCGAAAGAAAATTCTGATTTTTTTCTCTGAAAACTCGATTTTTGAGTTTTTATTCAGTGACAACTTCACCAAACTTCACTTTAATAAAAAGTTTTTCTATCGTCTCTCAAAATAAAACCACTAAAAACATTGAAGTGCATATGCCAAATCAGTAAGTGGCGCTGTAACGCTGCACAGGAAGTGCACAAATGACAGAAGAAGAGTACAGAGCATGTGTATAAAGGTTGTTTTGGCGCCATAAAAGAGTTACTCTGTGTGTCACATGATCGTCACAGAGACGCAGACAGACATCCACACGGTCGTTGTTTACAGATTTATTCGCTCTCTGACCCGTTTTCAAAAAGAACCGTTTACAGTCACCTGAAACGCCGATACGACAAAAAACGTTGGCAAATCAGGCAAACGACGGGTCTGTTGGCATCGACAGTAGCACCACCTCAGATCCTGACTACCCCGCCTTTAAATCGACCTGGAGTGGAGGTTGGACTTCATTCAAATAAAACGAGATTTGGGTTTTTATTTCTGGTTGAATTTTTGGCAAAAAAGTTTCTGAATCGTTTCCGATCGTGTTTTTCTAAATGAACCGATATCGTCGTTAAATCAAACCCACGATCAGGAATCATGACAGAAATCAAATCTTTATTAAAATGAATCGTTTCACCCGGGTTTGAACCGAGTCCATTTTAAGCTGGTATATGTAGGAAACCATATGAGCGTCTACATCTGGACCGCAGCCTGAGGAGCGTGAACATCTGGAGGAGAAAAGTGCCGCTCCTTCACGCTGAGTAAGAACCCGTTTAGGTGTTTGAAGGATCTGATTCAGTTCCTCCTGGATGTTTCAGTTTAAAGGCTCTCCAACAATCTCCAGCTGGAAGGAGACCCTCAGGGAAGGCCTCCAACAAACGGCAGGGATTAAGAGCCTTCTGTGTTCATGAGACCGCCGCGGGGTCCTTCAGGAGAGGCTCTTCAAGGCTACCTGGGCTCAGATAATAACCTTTCATTTCCTGTCTTCAGGTGTGCGGCGTGTATGTCTGAGACGTCCTGTTGAAACATTGAGATGCGGCTCGTGTCCGTGCAGATTCATTAGCGCTCTCATAAATATTGATCGACCGCGTATTAAGGATTTATAACGGCTTAAATAAATATTGAATTAATGGAAGGTTAAAGAAGACGCCGGATCAGCATGCACCATCATCCCTCGCTCCTTCCCTCCTTCCTTCCTCAGCCTCCATCTTTGCCTCTTTTTAACCTGCTATGATGAAGTGATTGACAGCTCCCCTTCCTGCGCCCCCCCCGCCTGTCTCACCTCATCTGGCCTGTCACTGGGACGAGACTGGGAGCGATAAAAAAGGCCAAAGAGTGGAGCGAGTGTTAATCAGACCGCTGCTAAAATTAAAACGCGCCCTGACAGGATCTCCCTCGTCTCTCGGGGAGAATCTGAGCGCCGGCGGCGGGAAGCCGAGCAGCCGAAACCTTTCCCTTCCTGTCAGTCAGTGTCCCTCTCATCATCAGCAGCACCTGAGCTCCTGTTTACCTGCGCCTGTTTGTTTCCCTCCTTTATTCTCTCTCTATCGATCCGCCTCTCCGTTTGATGTGAGGGATTCTGAACCCGCAGGAAACCGCCTGAACTTTGAGGACTTCACCCGGGAAACGCTGGCGTGACTGTGCATCTGAGGCGCCACTCTGCTGCGAGGGAGCAACAGTCCTCTGAACCCTCCCTCCTCCTCTTCTTCTTCTTCCCCCTCCTGCACTGCTTTGTTTCCGTGGCAACACATCCTGGACACTCGCTGTGTGGATGTGACGGGCGGCTGACACCGAGGGACTTTGCAGACGACTTTCCGCAGCCTTGAACCGGACTTTACACCAAAGTCGAACATGCGTGTCATCGGGAACACAGATATTTCAGTGTTTTTTTACTTATTCGTCCTCAGGGGTCTTGACCTTTCTGAGAGGAGGGACCTGGTTTCTGTGGATTAAAGCAGATTTTTAAATATTCAGAAGGAGCTTCACCTGGTTAAAGACGTTCACTTGGATCTGGGGTTGCAAAGGGGCGGAAAATTTCCAGTAAATTTCCAGAAACTTTCTGTGGGAGTTAAGCTGGAAAATTTTGGAAATATTCTAAATCAGAAGCTTTCCATGGGAATTTATGAGAATTAACTGTAAATTGGGGGTAATTTAAACAAACTGATAACATTTTTATTTTTATTTGAACGACCACAATGATTTAAATCTGTTATTATTTGTCTTTTTGCACACTGATACGACCTAGGATGTGACATCACATGACAGGAAATGTCACCCAGTCCGGCTTTAAAACCCTCCAGCTGGATCCCAGCGACAAACGCCCTCTTCTTCTTCTTCCTCCTTCTCCTCTCTCTCTGCTCTCCGTTTCGTTCTCCGTCTACTTAACCGGACTGAAGCAGGAAGATGAAGACGGATGGACGAGCCGCAAAGAAATCGGTGGATATATGGAGGGAGGGAAAACAGCAAATGAAGAGCGATGAAGGAGCGGACCGTGTCGTTTCTGCACAGCAAAGTCAAACCGGAGAGGAGAAAAACCTCTCCTGGAAAAAAGCTGAAGTGATCGACCGATCGGGAAAATGATGAACAGCTCCAAATCTGAAAAGAAACGGCGGTCAATTCGGAAGTGCAGCAGGTGAGCGGTGTCACGGGGGCGCCATTTTCATAACGATGACGGATGAGACACGAAGAATCAGCTGCTGCTTCTGGAGACGAACTTAGAGAGTAATTAGTTTCCCTTTCTGACGAAGACGAATTTATCAACCGACCAAGAGATGAAACCGACAGGAGATCAATCTTCTCAGAGCCGGCCGCGAGGTTTTAAAGAATTAAGAGTGTAAATAAAAAGTTTTTAAATCATTTCAGACGACTGACCTGGATGGAAACAGTCAGAGAATATCTGTATTTAAATTAATTCAATATTATTTAAAGGTGTTGTAGTCAGGATCTGAGTTAGATCCAGTTTTTAGGAGAAATCTTGAATGTAAACTCTACCCCTCCCAACCAGTTTTCCCCTCAGCTCCTCCTCTCCCCTCAAGCCCCGCCCACAAACAGACGCTCCTGCTCGCTCGTATCGTTCCAATTAATAAATACTTCAGATCATTACAAATGGGGCCCAGTCAAGGTGAAAGTCAAAAGCATTGGTGCTACTGTAGATGCCAACAGACTACCAGCAAACACAATGTTTGCAGGAACTTCTGCATAGATGCTGCATGCATGGATGTGTTTATATGTCTAATATTGCACCAGTGGTTCATCCATCATGCTGGTTGAACAGTCAGACTCAGTCACAGATCGACACTCAACAGTCGTAGATCTGGAGTAATCTGCCGTTCTTTTAAAAACCAGCATTTTGACCACAGACACATTTTCCTCTTTGACAAAATGACCACCTCAGCATGTCAGCGACTGAAACAAGCAGGATCAGGCAATCTAGAGCAATTCTAGATCTCCATGACCCGTCCCGCCCCTCTTAAGTCAGTCATATAAAAAGAAAAAAAAGTGCGGAATCGCCCTTTACAGCCGTCTCTCCGTCTCCTCAGCAGAATTGACTTCCAGCTCCTCACAGTTTGAACACTTCCCCTCCTCCCACACACTTTCCTCGTCATTAAATCTTGTTAAATCAGGGACATGACAAACACGGGAAGGCAGCTGAGTGTTGCGGACGCCGCGGGGGCGGAGCCAAACCAAGCCATGTGATGCTGTGATTGTACCGTGATAGCAGGCCGCGTTAGCATCCTCTGCTGCTGCGCTGCTGGACATTAAAAATTTACAGGCAGCGCTAATTAGAGGAGGCAAAGAGGCTGAACACACACACACACACACACACACACACACACACACACACTCTAGTATAGTTAACCAAACCCTTTCATTCATAGTTGTACACACATTCACATCAAAACTCGGCTTTTGGCACACTTCCTTACAGTATTTGCACACACACACACACACACACACACACACACACACACACACACACACACACACACACACAGACACACACACACACACACACACACACACACACACACACACACACACACACACACACACACACACACACACACACACTCCTTCTCTCCTGTGTCCACTGAGCTTCTGAATTATTCCTGTTTGATGAGCGCGGCAGACAGCTGCTGAACTCTCTCCTGCTGGTGAAATCGGCGGCTGATGGCGGTAATATAGTGAGTCATAATAACGGCGAGGAGGCATATTACACTTCCTCGCCATAATTAGAGAGACAAAAACATTTCACCCTTTCAAGAACAAACACTTCTCCTCGGCGGCGGCGTCCGGTCTGATTCTCACGCTGACGTCTCACGCCTCTGTGACCGTGCTGTTCAGAAATCCTGCCGACGGCTCGTAAAGAAAAACAAAAAAGGAGGGAAAATATCCGTCAGACAGGAAACGTGAACATCAGTGATTTCTGAATACTTTACAGGTGTTACAGAAAAAATAAAAAAAGGTGTAAATTCTCGCTTCGGCTATTTGAAGAGGAGCAAAAGTAAAGAGACGAAGTGAAACTCTTTTACTTCTGTCTTATTTCAGCTTTACAGTCTTTTTACCTTCTGTTATACTTAAATATATTTATATATTTGATGTTTTTATTTTGGTCCTCATATTTTATGATGCAGGGTTCCTGGATTATCTGGGTTCCTTTTGCCGTAATATGAAGATGACCTTCAATTCTGAGGCCTTGTTTTAACCGAGTCAAAGCACTTCATAAACGTCTGTTTTTAAAAGTGCTATAAAAATAAAGTTATTATTATTACTATTGTCATTATAAACTTCATTTTTCTGACCCCTAATTTCCACCGCATCCGTAACGACCATAATTTACACTGTCCGCCAATTCCTACCAGATCCGTTTGTGAGGCGCAGAGGAACCGAAAGAAGCCTGTGGAAATTGACACCTTAACTTAGATGGTTACGATCAGCTATGATTGGCGGATACGACCTTTTCGTACCAGTTCCGGGTGGGGTGGAAATTGGGGGTAAGTATCACGGGCGCTAATGTTTCCTTATTGCAGTGAGGAGGCGGCTGCCTGCAGTGTCTGCAGACATTATTTGATCATGAATGCAGCGACGCCATTTAACACCCTGACTTATCCTGCTTATTTTGGTCCTTAAAGGAGGTGACAATGACTTTGGGTCAGTGTATCGACCAATCAGATACTTTCTTTTCTTTCTAGTTGGTTTTAAAAGAGCTAGCGTCCAATCAGGAGTGACCAAAGTCTGATTTAAGGAAAAATGGCGTTTATTGGGGTGGATTTGTGGATACGGAGTAAGTTTGGGGTTTTCCTGAGGAGCTCAAGATAAACGAGCAAGAAGACAGTTCACATCCAAAGGAAACATGTGCACCTGCTTTACGGCGGTAGAGTCTGTGTGGTTCGTTTGTTGAGGGAAGTATATTTAGGAGTAAAAAGGACTGATCGTTGGTTCACACATGCTTGTTCCATCTGCTCGTTCTTTTATCAGCCCTAGAATCAGCAAACCCTGATCCAGGAACCGATGGACGACGACTCTGATGCTGCATCCATGTTTTATACCAACCCGAGACATTACAGCTCCTCCAAACGGTGACCATTTCTTCCTGTTCCTGTTCATATGAAGCTCCTGGTCATTCCTCCACATCCACTTCCTTTCCCTGCAAAGGTGTCCACACTCATTCTGTTTGAAAGCAGGGAACGGTTCCCTCACAATTAGGGTCCAATAATGAGCGAAAACAGTGGTGCTTTCTTCCAGCTGGAGCTCCCACTGTTCATGGTGAAGTAAAGGTTGCAGTCATTATGTTCGCAGAGTTATAATTCCCTGAACTGTCAGCACTTCCACTGGAGAGAGAGAGGAGCAGGAGGAAAGGGGGAGGACTTGTCGCCTCAAAGTGCTGCTGCTAACGCTAATGCTAAGAGACGGCAGGGAGGCAGAAAATACAGACGTGTCAATCCAGGGACATCCTCCGTTAATCACACGTGTCAGCGAGGAGAAGAGCTGCCATTTACCCAGACTGCATCACTGCAGGGGGACTGTTTTCAGGAGCAGCATCTCTGAAGGGAACCTGATGATTACTGTTCTCCGTTTGATTGGCCTTCACTCCAATCCAGCTGTTAACCCAGTCCGACTGTTATCCGCTAACAAGCAGAGAGCGACTCCGACATTAACCCTTAATGAATAAACCCTGAACTCCCAGACAGACTGAACCCCTCATCAACACGTGACTGCAGAGGAAGTCAAAGTTTTCTGCAGCTGAACTGTATCTGAACCATTAAACTCCTCTGAGAATAAAAAAAATGATTTACTGTCTCTGGAGCTGCCAGACTGTGAGGAGGAGAAACGTTGAAATGAGGAGGAAAAACCATCAAGTCTTAATGTTCTTCTGCAGAGGTTCGACTCTCTCTGGATAATTTGAGGGTAAGGTAAGTCAAGTTAAACTCAGATTATAAAAATACACAGAATACTCCATAGTAATGCAGCTGATCTGTTTACTTCACTGAAAAGAGAATTAAACTGAGACGTTAACTTCAATATTATTTCATTAATCCTGTTCACAGAAATCATCATCTGCACGTCGTTATCGTCTGTATATGTATTAATCATCTCACACATCATAATCATCTGCATACATACTCAGAGTATCGCCATTAAACCTTCGTTTTGTTACCTGTGAGTTAAAGTCAAAACCTTCATCCAAATATTCTTCACAAAAATCTAGTCTGAATTTGTTTTTTAAGTTTCAGAAAATGATCCCGGATCAAACGTCTAAAAACAAACTGGAAATATCAGAGAATATGATAATCTGTTTATATATAAATCATATCGATTGAGGATTTAGGATTTTGGCTCGGGTCCTTTCCTCCTCGAGCAA